GAGCCGGCCTCCATGATGGTCAAGTGTGATCCACGCCGCTTGGCCGAACGGCGGTACAGCTGGGCTGCTTTTAGACATTTTAGAGTGCGCTGAATGATACTAGCAATTAACTTTACCTTTCGGAACGCAGCAGAGTGCTAAGGCCACGGCAAATACATGGCCTGCTGTATGATGTACCGTGGGGCTCTCAGCACAGTGCGGTAAAACAGGCCACGCTCCAGACACATGCCTCATGGCCTTTGATCAGTGTTTTTGCGGATTTTCAGAAGTGAGGCGGAGATGTGGTGCCGAAGGATGTGAACGCCGCCGTGGCGACCATCAAGACCAAGCGTACCATTCAGTTTGTCGACTGGTGCCCGACCGGCTTCAAATGCGGCATCAACTACCAGCCGCCAACCGTGGTGCCCGGTGGTGATCTGGCGAAGGTGATGCGTGCCTGCTGCATGTTCCTTGCCTGAGCTTCATCGGGCAGCTAGCTTTCACGGAAATTTCCCAACACCCTAGACTGTGCAAAGCACTTCTCGGCAACCGTTAAATCAGCAACTGCTCCGAGGATCTCCAACAGCACCGCCATTGCCGAAGTCTTCTCCCGCATCGACCACAAGTTCGACTTGATGTACTCCAAGCGCGCCTTCGTCCACCACTACGTCGGAGACCTGGGCTGCTTTCAGAAGGTATTCACTGCTCCGCAAAAGACTTAAAACTACATTACGGTATTTCGTCGTGTATTGTGATGTGTTTTCGGACACAGTAGTATAGGATAGTACATTAACAACGAGTATGTTTGGTATATGATATCATAGTATGGCTATTGCATTACATTGTAACATACTACGTTCTACTACTGTATGTTCGAGTGCATTATAATCGGCCCATAGATATCCTGGCAATCGCTCGTGAGAAGCAAGCCAGTAGCAGAAAGCTTTACCTGCTCCTTCTGCACGTTTGAGCCCAACCCCTCAACGCCTGCACACCCCAAGCCCCGAGCCCTCCCAAAACCTTCGAAACGCAATCTACGCCCGCAAGCCCTAGAACCGTCTAAACCCCAAGCCCTAGTAACCCTGGTAGGCCTCTTCACATCTTCAATTTGATTTACCCCTGCGAACCCCAAAGCCCAAACGGAGCCTAGTAAGTCTTTCGAGAAGCCGTGAGAAGCCTATACCAGGCCAAACGCCAAACCCGAAGAACGCCAGGAAAGCCCACCTTAACTCTAAACCCTTAGAGCCATACCAAACCCTCCAAAGATCCGACATCCTACATCCAAAACCCTAAAATCCCTAAATCCCCTCCGAGAAACCCAGGAGAGGGCATGGAGGAAGGCGAGTTCTCGGAGGCCCGCGAAGACCTGGCGGCCCT